TGTGAATATATATATATTGGAGCTGCGACTTTCTTGAAAGATCCCCCCCCCGTAAGTGACTAAAAGCATATAGAAAATAAATATAACCCTAATGGCATGGAGTAGCTACTAAGAATGGTAGCTGTCTGAATCCGCCGCGTTAAATTATATCTTCTAGCCATTGATGCCATTTGCCTCTGTGTAGATTTCCTCCTCAGCTGAATAGTCATCTTAGTTAATAACCGGTGGCTACAGTTCTCTCCATGCAGCTAGAAAAACGACAGTACCCTTTTGTTGCACCATCAGTGAACGCGCAACAGATTAAAAGCAATCACGGCGGGCATCTAACGTATAATTTTATTGACAAACAGTTCATCTTCCCCCACTTGTATGAACCATGTCAACATATAATTTTAATTAATAACAATACGGGTAATTTTGGCGTTCTTGATTTATGCGATACATTGAAATGAATCGATTTCACGTTAGTCCATTAGGAGCTGATTCGCTCCAATCTGCTACAATCAATTTCAGTGAATTCAGTCTTCATTAACTCACTTTCCTTCTTCCCCTCTTACAAATGACCAGTCCTCCGTGAATCACAGGCACCCATTGTTATAACGAGGAGCATAGTGGACAAGCTGAATGCCAAATAGTAAATATAGACGTCTTTTCGAACGTTGCTGCAGAGGACTGTTCTACTGAGTGAAAAACCGCAGATACAGAAAACGATATTCGCCATCATGCATCGAATCCCACTTACAAATAGTCCATCACATCTGCTGTTTGCTCGGTAAAAGGTCAAAGTCCAAATCTAATGAATCCAAAACTTAAGCTTTACTACAGGGTACTCATAAACTGGCTAATATTTTATGTTCATTTTTCTACATTCCTCCTTCTTCACCTGCGAAACTTTACAAATGAGGTATTTCCTTCAGTCACTCTGGAAGTTTTGCGGTTTATTGCTCGAGAACTAAGCTTCTGAACGCCCAGAACGGCGTCGTTTCCAAACCGTCTTTCAAACATAGGCGCTTCGTTTGCTCAACCACAATATAGTTTGTGACAGTGGGCACTAAGCGGAACTTCCGCGTACCTGTCACTAAAATTTACACTTACTAGTCTAAATTGAAATAATGGCTATTGTTATGCACAGCGATGCATTAACTGCATAGACACTAAGTGAGGGTGTAGAAGTCAATTCGTTTTTCAACCTTAGCAACAAATCAGAAGAGTTCTATTGAGTGATGATGGACCGCACAACATCAATCATCTTAAAATTGAGGAGACAGAAACTTAAATCCGACAGCGGTTAGTTTCGTTCAGTAATGGTTGAGAATATCAGTCTTTTGCCTTGAGTTAATGGAGGTAGTTCAGCCCGTCGCTTTCCAGCTGGTTTGAATCTAACGTTCATTCACAACGGTACTCGAGGGAATTATCTTCTTACCGTAGCCTTAATAAGGTTTCAGACCCAGATAACGCAGCAAAGCCATGCCGGTCGTCGCTGAATACCAGTCTCCGTTTTCCAAACTGCTGCTTGACGCATTTCTCCACGTCAGGTTTTGCCTGAAGAAGACGACTCGTAAAGCCAGACACATCGGCAGCTGTGGCAATCAGCGTCTTTCTGATTAATTCCACCGCCCATCTTTGTCATTATGAAATCCATACAGCTTGTCTTCGAGGAATTAATATTAAATTATGTTCGGCA